GCAGGCCCCAGAGAAACGGAAGTTTGCGGCAATATCTAGGGTACCAGTTACTTCTAACAAGTTACTCAAGCCTGGAACGAGATCACCCATTCTGACGGAGGAGAAAAATCCCAATCTCTTAGCTGAGCTTATGTCAACGTTCTGTCCAGACAACGGTCATGTTCTGGACATTTACGGTGGTACTCTTTCTACGGCAATTTCTTGCATTCGGACAAACAGAAAGTGCACTGTAGTGGAGGCAGATGCTGAGCGATATCGTTTCGCCCATGAACGGCTTCGTTTAATCGCCCAAAACCACTGCGGTCTATCAGAAGCTACTAATGCGCCAATGAAGAGGTCATGTAAAGATCCTTCTTCCGTACCATCCTTCGTGACAAGAAACTCCATCACGAGCGATACTAATAACTTGTCCGACAATGTCCTGTTATTACGTGATATGAGAAAACCTGAAAGCGGTATTGCTGATAGTGGGGAAGAGCCCTCAATGGCTGTACACGCAGCTACAACCGGGGGATCTAATGCGTCGTTCCTGGAAGCTGTGAAACCGGGAAGTACCGTGCGATTGATGGTGTCCGGGAAGGTGGTAGGGACCGGTACTCTTCAACTACCTCCGGGCGATTCTTCGAAGTTCTACAGAAGGCTGCACGGACACGAGCTCAAAGATGTTGAGAGAGATGGCGAGTGCCTAGTTGCTGTGTTCCGTGTGTCAATTCTACCTGAGTCGAGGAGTGTGAAGTACCCTTACAATTTCAAAGGACAGGAGGCAGTCCCGGACAATCTGCGTGATATAGGTAGCGCCTTCTGCGCCTGGGACCTGCACAGTATGGCGCTCTTCAATGATGCGATTGTTACTCACTCGTCGGTACAGAACACATAGTACTCATGTAAAAGGCTGTACTGTTCTTCACGTCGGGCTTCGCAAACCATATTCACCGTATCAACTCTTATCTGTTTTACGCTCACCACAGAGTGGCACGCTGTCGTATCACGCACTATTCGTGCATCGTCGCATTGCAGACATTATGCCGTTTATGAGCAGCAGGCAGTAGCACAAAAGGCTGAACTCTTCTTCACATCGGGCTCTGCCAAGCGTCATATCCACTTTGTCGAAGTCTATATAATAGACACACACCCCCCGCAACGCCCACCTTCTCAACCATCACCGCCGACCACCAACCAACACCAAGATGCCGTCAGAGGATGGCTGGTGGCGGGTACTGCATGACATAGTCGGGGTAGTGAGGGATGGGATGGCGTGGAATAGATACTGGGCGGGGGTGTGACGGTTGTTGGTGGTGATGGCGAGGAAGGGAATGCTGGTGTTTAGCTTGGAGTTGGCGGCGAGGGGGGGTGGAAGTGACGATACGGGTCATCGTAGTGGGTCGGGGAGGCTTGAAGTGGGCCACAATCGCCAACTTCGAGCAAGTCCAGACAGAATTTAGGATTAAATTCTGTCGGCAGATTGTGAACAGGTATCAAATTTTTATTTAACATGAATTGTACTGCAATTTCCAAGTAAAATTGTATGATAATTTTTTTGATTTGGCCTATACAGAACCCCCCATCCCCCAGATTTAGAGAGTACATGTTGGACGATAACTTCTAAACTATTTTGGTTTGTCCACTTCTGTTTTCTGCATATCACTACTACTGCTCTAAGCTTTACAACCATATAAAAATATCTGGAATCCGAAGGGGTGCCCCTGGTACTGTTTGGTATCCCAAATTCTGGTTACCACCAAACCAGTGTTCATGGTTTGGGCTGCGTTTTCGCACTACGGAAAATTTGAGGTGGTTGTGACATGCGGACGACAGAACGCTAAAAAGTATTGCAAGACTATGAAAGACCATTTACTTCCCTTCGCCACACTTACACATGGCGAAAACTGGATATATCAGCAAGACAATGCTTCCATACATAGAGCACATGAGACCAGAACGTGGTTCAAGGACCATGGAGTGGATGTTCTCGACTGGCCAGCCCGATCTCCGGATCTGAACCCCATAGAGAACCTATGGGCAATTATGGGAAGGACCGTATACGCGTGCGCACGCCAATTTTCGTCCACCAAAGATCTTACTAGTTGCATCATGAAATGCTGGGAGAAAATTGAGGACGAAGTGCTGCATAACTTGGTAGCGTCAATGCCAAGGCGTTGTGCTGCTGTCATGGCAAAACACGGTTCGAAAACAAAGTACTAGGGAGGTGTGGCAAACAATATACTGTAGTGGTCATATTGTGGGAGAACGGGAACGATGAGGTTAGTAGTAGCCGCGCTCGTCGCACGCAGCGGCGGGGGAAAGGAGTCGCAAAAGCGAGGGGGATGGGGATACTTCGGATTTCCAGTCTCGAGACTTTTCGCCGGCGCTGTCGGAGGGTAGCAAGTTATCCCCGAGGGTCGGTCGGGATACCGCCCTCGGATTTTAATATATCCGGATTTCCCGCCGGCGCGTCGAACGGATAATTTCCCTTTTTCCCAGATTTAGGGCTAACCAAATAAACTGCAATTTCTATCTTCCCACACACCCCCTGTTGGCCCTAAAATTGGGGCACGCGGCGCCGGCCGATCCGCCGTGGGCGCCAACCCTATATCGATCTGACGCCGCCCCGCCGCTGCTCGGTACTCGATCCCTTGTCCTGACGACGCGGCCTTCTGAATTTGCGTAGGGTACCGGCGCTTGCTTGTTGAGTTATTCCCCCTTTCTCTCGCCGCGCCCTTTCGAACCCCCAAATCCACGGCGGACCAACAGCTTCTGGTAGTCACCACGTGCGCACGCCCACCGCCAGCCCTCGCTATACGCTGGCTCAGTTCAGCGTCCGCTCGATCTCGCGCACCGCATCGCTACTTCGCCGCTCGACGTCGCGCACCGTTTCACACCGCTCCGCTTCTCACACCACATCTCGGCTCCGCTTCTCACACCACATCGCCGCTCCGCTTCTCCGCCACATCGCCGCTCCGCTTCTTCGCCATCACTCCTGCGCACCGTTGCTTCCCCATCTCCGAGCTTCCACTAACGACGGGCCGTTTCCTCCGCGAGTCAGTGCGCGACCTCCTCGAACCTAAAGAGTGCCGGCAGGCCAGGGATCGGGGGTCGTGCGCTTCCTTGCGTGATAGAAGGCCTGTGGCTCGTTGAGGGTAAGGGGAGGCTTGCGGTCGAGATGATGGCGTGGCTCGGAGGAAAGTGGAGGTCTAGCGAAGTCCTCGTCGTGGCCCGGGGCCTCGAATTGACCTTCAGTCGGGAGAGGATTGCTCAGAGGCTGAGCATCGGGACGGAAACATCGAAGGTTCTTCTACGTTGGATGTCATATAGGAGAGGGAGGATGTTTGAGGTCGCGTTGTTGGAGAGATGGGGCTTGCTTAACGCTATGGGCGTGTCGGAGCACAAGCAGCGCCGCTGGGAGGTTCGAAGGGTGGTGATGGCTTCCGGAAGGCTTCACGGCTTCCGCCCGGGTCAGTACTACGCTTCACATCGGAGCGTAGGCGGCGCAAGACCTTTTGGAAAGTGGACTTCCATACTCTCCAGGCCAGCGTGTTGTCCGTACTCGATTCGGCAGGAAGCCCAGTTACCAGCGACATGGAAGTGACTTGTCCGGGTGGGCAGGGGAACACCGAGGTTGAGCTCGTCTTTGGTACTCGGAAGACAGCACAAGTCTTGGAATGGCTGAACGAGTACTGTACCAGTCATCAAGACGATTTCGTTGTTATTGGGGGTCCCGGGCATCGCGAAGCCACCGGACTCACTAGGCCTTATCGTACGCACCAGGAAATCTTCTGCCGCGCAACACACAGCGAGTGCGTGCGTGCTTCTTTCGCTAACGCGCTACACTCCGTTGTAGGAGAAGACCCGGCATTTGGAATGCTCCGCAAAGGACCCATCAAAGCTCGAAGCCTTGCAGAGTTACAGACCTGGAATGAAAAGCATCTCGGGAGGTATCGCCTCAAGAAATGCAGCGCCCCCGTGCTGGAAAGTCTTGTGGAGTGGATGGTCAACAAGGTGGACGGCACTTTCTTAATAAGAATCGTCGCTCTGGACGACCTAGGTGAACGTTTAGACCACGTGGTGGTTCTTGACGCCCAAAAAGGCCACGTTCTAGATCCGGTTGAGCGCTTTGCGCTTGATAATCGCCCTGGAGTGCTGGGTGCGTGCCTTGGAATTTGTGGCGATGGCTTTGAAATTGCTAAAGTTCGGAAGCTTGAATTGCAGCCAGTCGGGAAGGGGAAGAAGAATCGCAGGAAGTTTGGAAACAGCGCTGCAAAAGAAGGAAGACAAAGAAGAATCACACGAAAAATGATTTCGACTGGTAGAAGGACTAAGAGGATGAGGGTAGTGGAAGACGACAGCGATTAAACGAGTTCGAGAGTTACATTGGCGTGCTCGATGCTCTTTTGATCCGCCTTGAGCCTTGAAGAACCTCATCTTCTAGAAGACCTTTCTGCATGATTCCATTGAGGATCTTGAACATTTCTACGTTACTCTTGGTTAATGCATCAGCAGGGTTTTGCATACCGCTTACCCATTGCATTACTGAAATTTCCCTGTTTTCGAGGGAATCCCTCATCCTTGCTACCGTCGGCCTCAAGCGGTACTCTGCACCTTTGTGAAGGGTGGTCACGGTGGATTACAACCCGTGTGAGTCCACCGTCATCACGAAGGGAAGCTTGACTGGGGCTTTGTGAAGAGTTTGCAGGCTCTCTGCCATTAGCGAGCCTCTGTCTGATGACGTTGCGGCGGCAAGAATCTCTGCCCCCATGGATGAAAAGGCAACACGCTTCTGCTTGCAACTGATCCAGTCAAGGACGTGGTAGATCCCCGCACCCCCTGCTGGCAGATATAGGCCGGAGACATACCCTGTCTGCCCGTATGAGGAGCTACCTTGACTGGCGTCAAAAAAGCGAGGTAGGAAGGATTGACAAGAGACGACGGCGTTCGAAATAGGAGGGTCGGGGAAACCGCTTTGATCTCCACAGGCAATTTGTTCCCGTTTATAAGATCGGCCACCTTCAAGCGCCCAAAGGCTTGCTGAAGGTAGCTGGCTGCGAAAGCCGCTTGGGGGAGAATGCCATGTCCGAGGAAATTGAGACTTCCAGCGAGAGCTTGGTATGAAGTCAACTCTGGAGCGGTGCACTTGTCTTGGTGTCGTCTTTTTCTTTCCTTTGAGACGTCGATCGGAAGAATTTTGTCCACGTACTCTTGCATATTAATGCTTAAAGAACCGGAAGGCCCCTGGTGGATATGAAGACGATTGAAGATCAAGTCCTTGTTCACGACGTAGCGTCCGACAATGAGCCGGCGAGAGATAGCTTCGTGAAATAGATGGATGTTTGGAAGAACGCCAACCACGAGGAAGTCATCGACGACCTTTGCGACCAGTAGGTTTATCGATCCCTCGGCATTGTATTTGGCGAAGAGCTGAAGAAGGCCTGGGACTTGTACGAACCCTTGCGTGGACATCTATTCCTCGGCGACGAGTTGCCATAGGCGTCCGGATTCTACAATTCCATAGGCCGGCTTGAGTATCTTCCAGACTGTTCGGGCAGAAGATACCCAACCTTTCGGGGGTCGGACGTATATGTCCCGGGGAAAGTGGCCAGCTTGCAAGTATGCTCCTTTGATATCAATGGAGGCAACTGAGAAAGACATTATTGCCGCGACAGAGAGAACGATGCGAATTATTGGGAACTGAGCTGTCGCCGAGTCTTTCCGGATGAATTCTTGTCTCGATCCCGGTTCCCGTGTGGAACTAGACGACACTTTAGCTTCAGCTTTCCTCCTACTTCGTCGGTCTTGACTTGGAAGAAGTGGTGGGAAGAAATCACATTGGCATGTCGTGGGAGATCCCCATACGGGACTTCCTTGTATGCCTCGGCTTGTGCGTAGTTTTCTTTCTCCTCGGCTATGTCCTGATCAACTATCCATCGCGCAACAAATTGGAGTTTAAATTCAGAGGTGGGTTTGTTCCCAACCACTTCCTGAATTTGTTGAAGGACCTTTTGCTTCGAAGATGTAAGATGAAAAGGCAGCCTCGACGGAGCTACAACGTCTGTGGTTCCGATGTCTTTTTCCGGCTGTGGGGGCTCGTGAGCTGAGTTCAAATCGAGAGTGCTACTCGAAGTTGAGACTGGATACCGTGTTCCAAACAAGGAATTGCAGCGATCGATGGACCTTGTGTTGACATCCAACAAAGGATTGTTCAACCTCTTCTGCTTTGAGGATGCTAATAAGCTCTTTGATATGGGGTGGGAAGCCCACAGAGCCTCTTCGGTCCTGAACTCAGAGATGTCCGTCAGATCGCCGGGGGGCTCCAAGTCAGGAAGGCTGTCTACATTCGCCGCCTCCTGCTGCCCTGCAGACCCTTCCGGTCTGCTTGGAGGCGACTTGTCACTCACATTCGGCGTCCCTTCCAACATTGAGAAGAGCGGAGGGGGTGCTGATGTTGGAGGGAACATACCTTCTTCAAAGTCCTCATCAATGACGGAGTACGACCGTGGGAATACGAAGTCCATGTCATCCAACTCAGCAAGTAGAGGGGAGGACGGAGCTTTCCGAACGTCCTCGTATGCCGCTCTTATGGGCTTACCGATGTGATCCTGACGCCTTGAAAGGACGACGAAGTGGGGCTGTGGGTTCCGCACGTACGCGTGTTCCCACGAGCCAAACTTTGGGCCTCTCTTGAAGTAATACACCGGGTCATCACGTGATAACTGGGCGGCTTGAAGCACTTGTGGACATCGCGACTTGTCGAGGAGCCTCAAAGCTCTTCCCCTGGCTCTTCGTGCCACTCGCTCGTTATGCGCAGTGATGAGATCAGCGGACAGCTTTGCTTGAGGGAGACCAACAAGCGAGAGGGTGTAACCCCGAGTCATCTCGAAGCTGCTCAGTGACTTGCTTCCATATAGGATGTTGCTCAGATACACGGCACGTGAGACCACTTCTTTCCTTTCAACTGAGTCAACACTGCACGCCGAGGAGTTTGATTCATCCTTTAGAAGACGTTGGATAAGCACACGGACAACCGCATTCTTCCGCTCCACGACGCCGAGCTTGTTATGACGTCGGGCTGGACGGGGTTCAAAACGTATTGAGAAGTACCTTAGGGCTTCGGCAAAACGGGAGTTGAAGAACTCGATGTCTCCCGATATGATTGACGGTGCACCGTGAACGTTTACCCATGCCACTTCCAATTGCCGAGCTGCTTGGTCCATCTCACGGGTCCGCATCAGGAATGCTACTGAATAACCCGTATAGACATCCACCATATGTAAGATGGGGGCGTTCTCGAACTCTGCACAGAAGAAGAAGTCGAGTTGGACATGGTTGTTGAACGAGGCGAGTATTTTCCCAAAGGATATCTTCCGCGATTGGAGTGGGCTGCCTGTTTCTTTGCAGCTAGTGCACTTCTCGACGGCTCTATGAAGTGCTTGTTTTAGCACAGGAGTCATCACTCCTCCTCGACGACACAGCGTCTCCATGTCTTGAAGGGCAAGGTGTGAATATCCATGAAGCTTTTTGGCGAAGCGACCGGCGATTCTGCCATATCGAAACCTTGCCTTCATGGTTTCTGCCGGCGGAATAGTGGACGCATATGAGACTTCCGTGGAGAAGAACGTCACAAAGGAGGATGTTTTGGACGGAACGACGAGAAGAAATGTGCGAACCGCATCGGGGTCACTCGACATTGTTGGTTCGGTGTATGTCTTGAACGTGAGACGTTTTGACGAGAAGTTTCTCACTCCTTTCGGAATAACCAAAAGGTTCTCTGGTCCAAGCTGGTACGAACGGTGAAGGATCTCGTTACCCAGAAGAAGGAATCCATCTCCTCTCGTGACGTAGAACGGAATTTTGACTTCCGTTCTACTCATGTCGGTCACGGGAAGGTCCCACACTCCAATAGTGACCTCGGCGTCGCTACAATTCTTGCCATATCCGTGCAAGAACGGTTCACAGTCTAGACTTCGAAGTTTGAACGGAATGTTCATGGCAGTGCAGAGGGCTGCGGCGCAAGAAATCCCTCCAACACTTCTGGTACATCCCGGATCAATAATGGGATTTGGATCCAGGATTCTCGGATTAATATCCGAGGAGGCTCCGGGATGGCTGACTAGGCTTGCCTGTTTGATGAGCCGCCGGAGCCTCTCCGAAAAAACGAGGGATGTGCCCCGGAGCCGCCGTCACTGGGGTCTCGGCGCGTCCTCTTTTTCTTTGTGAAGGCACTAGGTTCCTTGCACTCTGCTGCCCCTCTGTAGTGACCACGCTCTCCGCAGTCATAGAAAATGGACTGGGTTTCGTGATCCGAAGACAGCTGCCTCTTGCGACTGCCCCGAGATGCGTTACGACGGCTTGAGGGTGGACCCATTCGAGTTTCCTTCTTCTGCCCGTGACGTGAGCCGACTTCAGAGAGTCTTTCGAAGATGCTTGCAGGGCCAGGCTTGCCATGGGTGCCAATGATAGACTTGACCTTGCCGTCAACCAAAGCTTGGACGTCCTTCACGGAGAACTGGGGAGCATCCATTGACGTTGTCTGGGTCAGATTCCTCAGCACGATCACCGCGTCGTCAAGGTCGAGCCTGCAAGAAGTGTGCCGCGGCAGGAAAGAGTCAGCAACTGACGTCTTCGCAGCATTATTCTCTGCAGTCACCTTTAGGTCTTGGACTGCAATGTCAAAGGAGCGGATGAAGCTGATTGTTTGCGACCTGAAGTCGGACAGAGCCTTCTTATAATCATCGGCCGTGGACTCTGACTCGCGGAGTGGAACGTCAACCTTCTTTAGCTTCTCGGATATCTTGAGGACTTCCTCGAGATGCACCTTGGATACCTTTTCGGTGTCGACTACTGCCGGCTCTTCCTTATTTCGGGCTTCTGCATGCAAAATTAGTTGGAGCTTGGCATTGGTCAACGTTCCCTCCTCTATGTTTTCGTTATTGAGGAGGGTAATCGCCAAAACTTCACCTATCTGCGAAAGAAGAAGAAGTGTTGGCGTGCAGCAAGTGCTTGGCTGCCAAACTTCGGAACCTCGGGACGAAGCTGGAGAGCTTCTCGTTCCTGTCTCGGCGACAAGAGGGGACCTTCTGGTATGATGCGATGAGCCTTGTGACCATGGCAATCGGTGGGTCTACAGCGACAAGCTCGACGATGGAGAGTGCCGCTTGCACGGGATCACCCATCTGAAGGTAGTCGAGCTGTCCTTTTGGACTGGGCTTCATCGACTATTGCCTTCTGAGCTTCCGGAAGGCCGCGCTCATAGAGTGTTTGTCCGAGGAGCTTGAACATCGTCTGAAAAGTGCGATCGGTGCCTTGGTCGTGGGCGACTTTAAGTGAGTCGACCCACTGTCCAACCTTCTTGCACCAGGCTTCAAGATCGCCATCGGCGGCGAAGAGAGGCGGGTCGAAGAATCCTGATAATTTACTCATCTTTCCCCCTGGGCCTATAAATGTGGGAGAACAGGAAAGATGAGGTTAGTAGTAGCCGCGCTCGTCGCACGCATCGGCGGGGAGAGGAGTCGCGAGAGCGAGCGGGATGGGGATACTTCGGATGTCGAGTCTCGAGACTTTTCGCCGGCGCTGTCGGAGGGTAGCAAGTTATCCCCGAGGGTCGGTCGGGATACCGCCCTCGGATTTTAATATATCCGGATTTCCCGCCGGCGCGTCGAACGGATAATTTCCCTTTTTCCCAGATTTAGGGCTAACCAAATAAACTGCAATTTCTATCTTCCCACACCTATAGTTTTTACAGCCAAAAACTTATGTTTTGCTTCTGTGAGTGTTTTATTTATTCGGTCCAAAATTCTGAGTGCATATTTGCAATGGTTTTTAAACAAGCTTTCCATTGGTGTGCGGAAGTCCGGGTGTCCTTTGGTGGAACCTTGGCCCCCAACTGGTCCTATATTTTTGATGGTGACTGTACATCCTTTGTCTTGTCAAATAAGGTTGTAATTCGACTGTTTTAGTTTCCCCACATCTCTGAGCCAATTATACCACAAAGCCTAGTTTATCATACGTGGCATTGTTGGCGTGGTTTCCCGGGTCACGAATGGGTTGCCCGCATCGGAGATGTTGTTGTCCATGGATGTCACAGGTCAATCTCACTGACTACTGAAAACCATATCTCTGGCACACAGACCCTGCGAAGAAAGCTATTAACATATACTTGTATGAGTCCCGTAGTTATTGTTTGTTGACACCGGGCTTACTGCATTGGAATTTTAGGTTGTCCTGTGCGAAAAGTGTACTTTGCGCTAACGTTCACCATGCAGCGAAGTGAGTCGGGAGGCCCCGACCTGTTTCAGAGCATAAAGCCATCTGGGCAAGCTTGAAAGATATCGCAATCCTTTGTAAGAAAACTCGACGCCAAAATCAACAGAGTGCAGCTGCAGCACTGTACAGTATATACAGACTGTACCTCCAATCATGGCGGCCCCAATGGTGGCGGTCTCAATCACGGTTTGTCGTTTCATCCATTTGGAGTGCTTCTTTAGTCATGACACTCTTACGATTGGCTACATGCCATACAAACTCTTGGCTTTCGATAACACTCGCGTTTCTTGCATTTCTACGTGGAAGTAGGGATTTTCTCAAACGCGTGACCCAACACCTGTTCAAGGCAGCGGCACACATGTGAGGCATGCTGTCCAGTGCATCTTGTGCAGTATGCTTTAGCACGGAACAACTCGTTCTTTGGGGTTTCAGGATCGAGCAAATATTAGCTCTCTCTTTATACGTACTCTACAAAATAAAACAAGGCAGAGGCAGAATCGCTGAGGGAAATACAGTAGCTACTGTACAGTACAACGGTACTCTCTACAATGAAACAGAGAAAGGCTTGCCTCAAATGGCTACAGCAAACCTCGCGACTCAGAGTTGCCAAAAAAGGGTCCAAGGCCAGAACATGTATGTGCATTGCCCGATAGATATATCCCTATTTCCGTGATATAGCAGCATCTTTCGACAGACGTCCCAAGGACAAAAGGTGGCCAGACCCATAACTGACACCTGCTCCGCCGCCACGATCTATACACTACGATACAGAATAAAAAAATGCGATTTCTTTCTCTTCAGCCCCTTTCCCCTTCCAAGACACTACGTGATGAGACGTGCTCTTCGCAACTCTGCCGCTCGATGAAGAGTGCACTGAACGCGCTTGTTGTCTTGCATAGGAATCGCTCTCTCGAGCTGTTGGGACGCCGATGGCGGCAGTCGCTGAATTACCGACTCAAAGAACAGCAACTCATCGACTTCACGCAGCAAGGAAAACATCAGGTCCTCCCCATCATCTGATCGGTTTGCCGGCGGCGCACCATTCATGGGAGGCGGGGAAAGGTCATCCCCATCGCCTTCAGACCCTTCGATATCTGCCCCTGGTAAGCAACCGAGGGCAGAACCGGAAGAGATACCTGCCAGGGGTCCGCCTACTGACCCCTCATCGATGTTTTCGTCCACTCCAGTGAGCGCATTTCCACTCGGCGCTGTGAGAGGGACGTCTAGGATCTGAACGATCGTGCGCAAGAGCTCTGGAATTGACTGCCGAATAGATGATGGCACAGAATTCCAGTCGGAGCCCAAAATGGAGGTGAGAGCAATAGCACTGCATCTTCGGTCATACCACCAATCCATGTGATTCTCTCGCACTCTGGAAACCCACAATGTGAACACGTCTTCCATGCACCCGGGCACCTTGTCTATAGCTGTCAAGGTAACAATCGGTGAAATGTACAGGAGATGGGACAATGACCTCAGTAGGGGAGCGACCACATACTCAACTTGAGGCCATGCCCGAATTTCTCGAACAAGCAGCTGGGAGAGCACGGCGATCTCGCGGTCGATGGAAACGCCCTCTAGATGCCGGGAGTGCTGCAGGAAGAGCGCGACGAGGTAGCTGCCTGTCACGGCACAGTCCAGATCCCTTATTCGAGCACCATCCCACAAGAATGAAATCATCCCGAGCAACAACTGCACTGGGCTTTCCTTTGCCTCTTGATCTACCATGAACACGCGTGGCGACCTGGAGAGGTAGGCCTGGAGAAAGTGGATGTAGTAGGTGCAATTTTCATGTGCCCATTCGTGGAACGCATGCATGGCCCGCGGGAAGAAAGACCACAGCGCGGGGCTCACTGCGCCCCGTCCTTTCAGAGCGTCAACCTCAACGGCCTGTCGCAAAACAGAATTTTGGACCACCACTTGCAAAGGGTACTCTTGGTCCGGTGTGGCTGGTAGTCCCAACACGGCCTTGTGAGGTTCGACCCCTGCTTCCGCGCACTCGCGCAAGTGGAACCCCCGCTCCCGGCCGCTATAATGCACAAAAGTAGCCAACAGGCCGAGTGTATCTTCAAACAGCTCCATGCGTTCGTCGTCAAACATGCGGTCAAAGATGGTGAACGTCATGCGCTCAATTTCTGCAAGCAGCGGGATGGTCCCTGTCAGGTTGGAAAGGGAGACGGTGGCTACGATTGAATCGAGGGTATGCAGGCACTGCGTCGCCGCATAACAAGCCTCATCATCTCCCTGCTCTGCAGAAGCGGTTCGCGAGAAGGCCTTGACAAGGCGCGAGCATAGCTCGAGCGCAAATGGTACGATGTCATCACCGAACCTCAAGATGACTTGGTCGATCGTGGCGACGAGATCAGTGTTATCGATGTCGTCTAGCAATGTGAAGAGCAGCTTGAGCAAATCAGCGACGTTAGGCTTGATTTGGGCGGCGGCCCTCTCATTGCGCAAATAGTGTCGAATGTCAACGGCCGCACGCACGCGCACCGGAAACTCGGGGTCGCGGAGCGATTTCTCCAACCCGGACAAGCCTGGAAGCATGAGCTCGACAGGGGGCTCGCACCAGGCGGTGAGTTGGCCGTACAGCCAACAGGCGCGCTCCCTGAGAAAGGGGACGTCCGAATCGAATTCGGGCAGCACATAGGTGTTTAGAAACCCGGATAATGACGTCATGCTTTCCGAGGCGGCAACTAGATTGTCCCGGATGGTGCCAATGGCCACCAAGGCGCCATCTTTTTGACATGCAAGCTGGCGGCGTTGCTCGAGCAGCTGCGGGTCGGCCTGGGCGCCAGCCTTTTGGCATTGGCGCGTGACCTCCGCGTAGCGGTCCATGATTTGGACAACAAAGGCGAGCAACGGGGCGACGACGGCCGAGCGGCGCTGGCGGGACAGCATGTTGAGCAGCGAGCAGGCGGCGGCGCGCGGGGTGTGGAAGTCCTCGAGCACATCGTAGGTCTTGCGGACATATTCGACAGGGTCCTCGACCCAGGTGACCAAATCGGCCTTTCGGAAGCACAGATACGGAAAGATTACCTTGGTGGTCAAGTCCGACAAGCGCGGTTTGATAACTTTGTACGTAATACCCGGGCTTACAGAGTACTCGAGATACAAGAGAGCGGTATTGGCGACACTCGGTGAAATGAGGTCGTGGTCATGGCGGACAATCTCAAACATGACCAGCGCAAAGGCCGGGGCGTAGCGGGTCCTAAAAAAGTCTCCAAATTTGGTGAGGACGTCCATCTCAAAGGACCAAGCAAAGCACGGGCTGATATCCAGCGTATTGCCATACCTCTGAAAGATGCGATATACAATCCTGGCTGCGTAATGCTTTGCCTGCCAAGCGGGCCACTCTCTCACCTCGCCCCTCGCACGGGCGACAGGGCGGCGCAAGACGTTAAGGAAGGCATCGAGCCAGGCGGCGAAGACTGTGTCGAGGTCGGAGACAATGACGAGCGGCAAGTCACTCTCGCAGACGCTCTGAAAGATCTTGCATACACGCTTCTGCATGCGGAAAGCCTGCTCCTCAGGGAGCGGGACGTGCTCCTCGCCGCGATGAAGGCGGTCTAATACGCCCTCCAACACCCCCATGAGCTCGCGCAGACGCGGGAACGTCTCCGCGACGACATAGTTGATGGCCGCCCGTGGGTACTTGTACATAAAAGGCAGGTCAGGCACGTCGCCCCGCGCATACGAAGGGTCCTCTGTGACGACAGCGGATTGGTGCATCTGGTTGGAGCGGTACGAGTTGGCGAGGGCGCCAATCTTTGCTTGGTATACAGCCGCGACGGCTCTCAGGGCGACCAGGCCGGCCTCGACGTGGTCAGCAGCGTCGGCGTACAGCAGGGCCAGGACGTGGTTGACCAGGCGCGGGTAATGGAGCGGGAAGTCGGCACCGACGATGCGCTTGAGGATCTGGGCAAACTGCGTGCGCAGGCTGTGGTGTAGCGGGGCCATGGCCGGGACGAGGTGATCTCGCAAGAAGGCGACATCGGCGGGCGGCAGAGTGGTCGGCGAAGCCGGGGCGAAGGCGTACGGGCAAGGGGGGATGGCCCACTCCGTGCGCACTAAGTTCTTAAGATACACAGCAGCCGCTAGCGCGACCGGCGGCGCGTGCGTCGTCGCCAGCGAGAACAGCGCGGGGATGAAGCCCGGCTGCAGGTTGAGGGCGCGCAGATGGGCTTCGGCAGCGGGGGCGGGTACTGGAGAGAGGGTCGCGAGCAACAAGGCGTGCACGCGGGCGGCAGCGACGGGGGTTGGCATCGTTAGGGGAAG